TGGCTTTTCATTGGGAAAATTGTTGGGCAGATGTTGTGCAAGTGTGGTTTGGTTTGGTTTATTGGATTTATATGCCACCCTTCTCCCAAGGACTCAGGGCGGCGTACAACATTAAAAAAACAACACATATTACAAAAGTTAAAAAAAAATTAGATAAGAGTGCCAGTAGGGGATTCCTGGATTTGATTCTTCCAGTTGATAAATAAGGAATGTCAGCATGCACAAGTAGAAGTGAGTTGTTGATAATTTTTCTGTATTCTGTCACTAGTGCATCTTGCCTTTATAAAGTTGGTGATGCTATATGGCTCAGAACAGGAAGCAGCAAGTTGGAGTGGTTTTAATATATTCACTTATAACCCTCATGGTGTTGTTGAGTCTGACATCTAACTTACTAGTATGGCAGATGTTAAGCCATACAGGGGCATAGTGTTTTGCTGCAGAGTATTCCAACCTTAGTGCTGAATACTTGAGAGTGGCAGCTGAACCTCCCCATTTAGTTCCACATAATGTCTGGAGTATGTTGCTCCTAGTATTAATTTTTGCAAATTATACAAATTATTATCCTCCACACTGAAACAGGGTGTCAGGGTTCCAAACAGCATCCAAAATTAAATCAGAGTCCAAGGCAAAGTATTGCTCAAAGTTCCAGTTTATTAAGAGAGCCATGTTGGCACATCTAGGAAAACCCGAATCTGAAGCTTTCTGGTTTGGCCCACCCAATTGAAAGTTCAAGATCTTGCCCCCACACCCACAAGTCCATCACATGGTCCAATCTTCCACTGCCATGCTGGCAGTTCCACCCATCCGGTTCCGGTCAGGTGCAGAGGAGTAGAGACAAAGGATGACTTTGGATTCTAGAAAGGAATTTAATTTTGGCTACATAGCATTCAACTCCCTACCATCCCCCCTCCCATTTCCCCACAATGGAAACGACATAATAGAAAATGTGGCAGGCCAAAGATCCAAAAGGGAATATGGTTGCAGGCCTGAAAGGCGGCCTCTCTTCAGAAGAAGCCCACTCCCTGAAAAGAGAATAATGTAGGGGTTAATAATACAGAATTAACCACCTCTCCCCTTTGAACGCCACGTGCATGAAGAATACCTATCCCCCCTCCCCCTCATGAAAGATATGTTGAACCAATTGGCTAAAGGCAAGGTGTTCTCCAAGCTGGACTTGAGAGAGGCGTATTACCAAATCAGAGAGGGAGATGAATGCAAGACCGTTTTTAACTGTCTCCTTGGCAGCCTTCAATTCAAAGTCATGCCATTTGGGCTACAAGGAGCACCCACAGACTTCATGTAGTACATAAATGTGGAGCACCTATACTGTGGAGTGCTCGTTTATCTCAATGACATCTTGATCTTCTCTGAAACCCTGGAAGAACATATGAAGCTGGTATGGCAAGTCCTGGAAAAACTTCCGGCCACCAAGCT